AATAATAATAATAATAATAATAATAATAATAATAATAATAATAATAATAATAATAATAATAATAATAATAATAATAATAATAATAACAGTAATAATAACAATAATAATAATAATAATAATAACAATAATAATAATAGTAACAATAATAGTAATAGTAGTAATAATAATAATAATAATAGTAATAATAATAATAATAGTAATAATGATAATAATAGTAATAATAATAATACTAATAATAATAATAATAACAACAATAATAATAATAACAATAACAATAATAATGATAATAATGATAATAATAATAAGAATAATAATAATAATTTGGTGGTCATTTCGTGATAATCGTAACAATCGATTACAGATATGACTTGCTGGGACAAATTCTTGAGTTGTCTTACACGAAGAAGAGAAAGTATGCTTACAAATACTGCATCATTTCCGGTACGGTACACACTGAGCAAGTGTTACTTTGATCAGTGTCACATAATCACTAATGCAATGTTGCTGAGTTAATCTCGCACGAAAAAAAAAAAACCTCAAGAAATGCTCAAAGTGGGCAAGTAACGGAAAACACTGAGATACACCGGAATTACAAAACTGCTTCAGGAACTCGTTCAGGACAACCAACCACTTTAACTTTCGCTTCTTCTAATCATAAGCAGCTGTTATCCATCCTGTGTGATAGTTCATAATTCACGGACCGTGAAATCGTCGAAAGGAATACCTACCCTGGTACTTCGGTTTTCTTCGTTCCGTAAGTCTTGGAGGTTTTGTGGCTTTACTATTTTATTACGGATTAGAATTTCAGGCAGTGTAATTGGACCAGATGTTTGCTAAAAATGGGCTATGTTTTTGATGTACAGATTGGATTCAGTGTGTTTTGTTCTGTTGTACTAGCAAAAAGTTTTCCGGTCTTACCTTTCGAATTGGGTTCCAGCTGTATTTTTCCGGAGTGTTTCCGATTGACGAAGTTAGAGTTTAACTGATAAAGAATGCTTTCATTGACCTTTGCAATGATCAAACCGGAAGCTGTCGCAGTACCGTATATTACCAAGGTTTCTTTTTTCTCTCCATCTTTGTCGACAATAAGATATTCAAACATCAGGTTAATTCCATTTTTTCCGCTCTTCATTAATAATTCATACTTTTTTGGTTTCAACAAATTAGGCGAAGAAAAAAGGGTTTAATGCTAACTTAGGTGTTTTAGTTTATTTTTAAATTTGAACGTTTTACAAAATTACTGACTGATCACTGAGGAAAGTAAAGTTTTCGGGAATCCTGTTGAATAAAAGTTGTGGCATATTTTGATCCAGGTTTCAGTTCTTGTAAAGTTTACAAAATGGATTATTGTCACTGCAGTCATATGATTTGTGAGGGAGAATAACAAAGCTTTTTGTGTTTTAAAGTTCAACTGCACAGACACATGTATCCATACTCTAACAAAGTTTAACAACGAGGGAGTCAAACAAATTCGTTTCCGGATATTTATTATTCCTGTATTGCACTTATTTTATGTTTCTTTAGGTTATTTGGGATGAAATTTTGGCTAATAACCTGGAAATTGTAGGAGCGAAAAGAATATGTATGAATAGAGAGGTGGCGGAAAAACTATATTCAGTACATGAAAGTGAGCTGTTTTATGATCACTAATGATTATGTATTGAATAATATTAGCAAATAGTTTAAACAAAAAGCTGGAAGGGGGCATTAAGAAATTGAAATAATAAAGTACTAATGATTAATTAGATGGAATTTTCCCATCATTTTATAAAAGAGGATTTAGACAATGAAAGAATTATTATGGAATTGAATAAATAGTCGTCAGAAGATTGAATCCTGATAATCTGAACGAAGAATGATTCTATATTCTGAAATTGTTGATAATTATTGTTGAGATTTAATATCTAATGTGGTAAAATTCTGAACGTCGAATCTTGAAGCTAAAACAGAGTATGTAAAAATTCACAAATTATGCCATAAATTTTGGCAACCATAGTTTTGCTTTCTAAATACTTTGAAAATGACCAAAATTATACATACAGTGATAATTTCACTATTTTGTATCATTTTGGATTTAACAACATCTTCTTAACCTCAAAAATTTCTAGTCTTACATTTATATTTTTAAGATTAGGGATGAAGTATTATTGGCAGTTAGTAAGAAACTTATTGGTTGGCTTGATTGATAAATTTGTGGAGAAACCGAAGAAAAGATAATGCATACAGCCAGTTAAAGTTTCACCGGTCACTGATTGCCAACGTTAATGCTTTCTGAAAAAGTAAAGTAATCATTGGTGTTACATATTATTAAAGCCATGTCATTTTGCAAAAGTCCATTTTGTCTGTCGTCTTACAACTTCAGTTCTGATCATCTGTTTTTGTTCTGCACTTTTTTTTTTTCGTTTGCTGGAGTAGGCTTAAGTTTTTTTTTTTCTTGATTTAAAAATTCATAAGGAATGATGTCTTCATTTTATCTTTATTATTTCGCATTATATCCGAGTGTTTTTTTTTTTACTTTTAGCATTTAAGAGGTATCATTAAATTCATTAGTTTCATAACAAACCACTTTCTATATGTCATCATTCGTACTCAGTCCTGACTTTGGATAGCATTTCTTAATTTATATCTCGAAACGTTAGAAGCTTAATTATAGCAGTAGTTGTGGGTACATGACGTAAGAGGTACCATTAAAACAAACAAAAAGCTGTGAAGGCGAGGAGTTAAAGGCTTAATATTTGGAGTTTGATGAAATTGAGTAAAAAGTTAAATTCGATTAAACTTACTCATATTACTCAATTAACCATTTTCAAATACTAAATAGTTATATTTTTCAACTAGATTTAATCCCATTTTCATTTAATTACAGCAAGAAAGAAGATAGAAAAGATTTTTTTCGATATTTTCTCCTGGGAATAGTCTTTTTTTCTTGTACATATACATTATAATCAATTTGTTTTACAGGAAAATTTTTCTATGATCGACTCATTCAGCATATTATAAGGTGAGTTTTTAAAATTAGAAAAATGTTGGAAGTTGAGGCTGCAAATAAGAGAAGAGAAGATAAAAAAATAAAAAATAAACTTTTGTTTGAATAGTAACAAATATGCAATTTACACAATGATTCTTGCAATAGCAATTTTCACAGTGCAATTAGAATGTGACGAAATGATGTTACAGCGGAAGAAAATTCAAGCTTTATCAACACAGAAATGTGTCATATGAATGATAACAATTGTACTACGTTTGAAAATGCTTTATGAGTTTTATTGTCTATTTGATGAAATTATG